AATCTAATTGTAATGTATTGTAAGGCATATAATAAAAAATTTTTAAAAAAATTTTTTATAATCCATATTTATTTTTTTTAATATATAATTAATAAATTTTAAAAATTTTGTAGAAGCACATTTTTTAGAAATGTGTTTCTATGATTAAAGTGTTTTGACAGAGAGGTTGGGTTATGTAGTAGGGTCCAGGTATTGTTGGTAAAGAAGAAATCAATGTTATTGGACTTTTTAAATTATGTTTTATAAGAAACATAATTTTCTAATTTAATATTTATTTATTATATTATTAATTATTTTGTCAATATTTTCCATAACTGGTAAACTTATCACAACCTTAGCTTAACCTTACAACTTATTAATTACCTTACCTCAACCTTGACATATAACCTTACCTCAACCTTGACATATAACCTTACCTCAACCTTAACGTGTAACGTTACCTCAACCTTAACGTGTAAGGTTACCTCAACCTTAACATGTAAGGTTACATCAACCTTAACGTGTAAGGTTATCTCAACCTTAACGTGTAAGGTTACCATAGCCTTATCATATATACTTACCACACTCTAACATGTAACCTTACCTCCATGGCGGAAGTTTCTAGTTCACCTCAGGTCTACCACAGCAATATCGTGTAACCTTATGAGCCTTACGATTAGTATTCAACATAACGTTACCTCATACTATTGTGCTATGTGGGTAATGACCTTAAAGTATATAAATTGATTGATTCTATTAATCCTGACTCTGATTCATCTGATTTGCAATCAGATTTGGATCGTTTAGAGGATTGGTGTAATAAAAATCATATGTCTATAAATATGAATAAGAGTTCAGTAATATCTTTTTCTAGGAAGAATACATTCATGTATTGCTACAATATTGGTCAAGAAGAACTTGTAAGAGTGACTAAATTGAGTGATTTGGGAGTACTTTTGTGTAATAATCTCAGTTTTTATGAGCACATATCTGAAATCATTTCTAGGGCTTTAAAATGTTTGGGGTTTGTTATGAGAAATGCATCAATTTTTCATACTGAAAATGTGCTTAAAGTTCTCTATTTCTCTCTTGTGAGACCAATATTGGAGTACGCTTCTATAATTTGGGTACCATTTTTTTCAATTTACAGAGTAAGAATAGAACGTGTTTAGAGTAGATTTTTTCGATTTAGCACGTCAACTTCGTATACCTTTTGACAGATACAGCCATGATTATAGTAACTTACGTGTTCTTTTGAAGATACCTTTGATAACATCCAGATTTCTATTTAATGACATGACCTTTTTATACAAAATTTTGAATGGTAAAATTGATTGCACATTATTATTGTAATTGATTTAATTGTCAGTTCCTATTCGAGGAACCAGAAATTTTACGTTATTTTTTTAATCTTTTCACAGAACTAATTATGGATATCATTCGATATTTAATAGACTTAGTAGAGAGGCTAATGAACTTCCTAATTGCATCGACTTTTTTTATAGTAATTTTACTAGATTCACCGCATTATTACGTAAAAATATACTAAAACCATTGTAGTAGGGTCGGCTTAGTTAATATAAATTAGATAAGTTACTTGTATGTTACAAGATTAAGTAACTTTTAGTTTTATGAATACTTATGTATGAAAGGGCAAGACCCGTTTATAATAAATGAAATGAAATGAAAATGAAATTAAATTATTTATTGTAATGAGAAAATTCAAATAACTTTATGAATCCTTTTTTAAATTAAAATTATTAAAGAAACTCCATTATTTGAAAAAAAATTCAAATAAATTTAATTAGGATTTATAAAGATTTTAATAAAATTCTTCTCAGAAATTCAATTAGTATCATAATTAATTAATAACATTTCACAAAAGAATTAAATTATTATTAAAAATTTTGATAAAACTCTTTATAAGAATTTAAATATTTTAAATATTATTCTAATTAAATTTTGCGTAATAAAAATGAACTTTTTAAAAGATTTTATTCTAATTTTTCGGAAAAATTTAATTATTTTGAAAATTTTGGATTCATTTTTTTGTAAAAATTAAATTATTTTAGGTTAAAAATTATAAAATTAAGTAAGAAATACCGCATAAGGAATATTTTTAATTGACAACAATTTTGTTTAATTGCTTTTCTAATATTGAAAGCATTTTATTATATTAGAATTTTCATTAATTTTAAATATTAAAATATTAAAAAGAATAATTAATTACAAAAGAAACTAGGAAACAAAATGCAAACAGAAAAAACTAACTTCAAATTGCGAATAGATTACCGGAGTTCATCGACTTTTGATTTGAGACAGACCATCGTCGGGTTAGCGCAATATCATACTTATTCGATAAACAAGGCAAGAACATACTTATTCAGAAAAAAGGCAAGAACATGCTTATTCAAAATATAAAGTAAAAACAAACGAATTCGCAAATTAACCTTTTTAGTCAAACTTTAAGTTATCAAGAATATTATAATTTTATTTCAATAATACTTTTCATATTAGAAAAACAAAATATTAAAAAAATTATTCTCAATGGAACTAAATAAAAGTTATTATTCGTAAAACAATTGTACAAAAGTAAAATTTAAAATCTGACTAAAAAGGTTAATTTGCGAATTCGTTTGTTTTTACTTTATATTTTGAATAAGCATGTTCTTGCCTTTTTTCTGAATAAGTATGTTCTTGCTTTGTTTGTCGAATAAGTCTGATATTGCGCTTACCCGACGCCATAATTACATTTTTTATAGAAAATTGTGAAGTCAAATTAAGTAAGAAAAAAAATAAAGTTTAGTTTAATGCTTATCTATTAACTTTCTAATTTAATATTTTCATTTTTAATTATTTATTTATTCTTATTTTTTGAAGATTTAATTAATAAATAATATTAGAAATTAAATTATTTATTGTAATGAGAAAATTCAAATATCTTTGTGAATCCTTTTTTAAATTATTCCGCCATTAGTGACGCCAACCAATGAGATCACTTGAAGCTTAAGAAGGCCCGAAATATTTTTCCCCACACATGGTTGATTACGAATCCGATGTTGGTTTTTCAATATTCAAAATGGCGGATCGAATATGGCGGATGCTTTTTTTAAATCGATTCAATTTGTCTAAAAATCGTTACTCGGGGTTTTTTGGGGTCGCTAATTACAAATATGACGTCAGATTTTTAAGAATACAAATTGGCGTTGATAATATGATAAAAATCAAATTTAAATTGTTTTATACGTTAATGTTTAAATTGATTTTATATACGTTTTTAAATAAAGGTTAAAAAACTTACTGAAGATTTGTATAGTCTTGTTTTGACAATTTTATTCATTTATACTTATTTTGATACTGAATAATTCAAAAAAGTAATAATTTTTTACAACTTGTGATTAATTTGTACACTTTAAAGTATTATATGTTTAAATCCATCAATATATAATAAATTTTTTAACAAATTTAAAAAATATTATTGCTTTAAACAATTTTTTAACATCATCGTATAATTTAAATTTTAAAAAAAAATTCTGCATAGTGTAAGGATTTTTAGCACAGATTGGTAGTCTTATAGTGATTACAATTTCGCGGTAGAAGTATGAGTTTTTTATCTTTGCCGCGAGATGGCTTGAAGCTTTTTCACCTATAAGTGAGAACGATTCGTTTTTTATTATAAAAGCTTATTACATTTGTGAATTAATAATGTAAAAGATTTTGATATACTAAAAATATTAATTATACTTAAAAAACCCAAGAAACCTCTCCGAGGAACAAGTTTTAAGTACAGCTAATCAATTTTTTAGAAAAGCGCCTTACACATTATATCGTTCATTCAAAATGTTGAGAAACTAATTACAGATTCGTAATCAGCGACCCCAAAGACCCCCGAGTAACGATTTATAGCCAAATTGAATCGATTATCAAAAAAAGCATCCGCCATATTGAATTTTGAAAAACCAACATTGGATTCGTAATCAGCGACCCCAAAAACCCTTAAGTATACAATTTCATCAAAATCTATCAAAGCGTTTGTCAGCACATTAACAGTTTGTTGTAAACTTAATTATTTGTTAATATAAATTGTTTATAACATTCGAATATTTACCTGCACAAATTTTTTACAATTTACAGAGTACTCTAGGTGTTTCTAAAAAGTTTTTAGCACGTGCCATTCGATTATAGAGGCTGGAGATAACTTTTTCTTAAAAATAGATGCTTTTGTTAAACTTTGCAATAAAAAAATAAATATAAACAAATTAAAATTTTAAATTCGGCCTCGACAAATCTGTTCCAAATTTAATAATCTTTCATTTAAAACAAAGTTCATTAAAATCGGTTAAAAAATGAAGGCTCTAGACTATTATGAACAGTAAATTGCAGTTTGGTCCCACTGTGCGCCTGGTGGCGAGAACGACTTCTCCCCCTATTATATGATTTTTGAACACTATATAACTGAGAGTTTATAACTCAGAAGAAGTGTTCCAAATTATCAAATTTTTTTTCTTACTGATGATTTGAAATGCTAATACAATTTATTATTTAATTTTTAATTAAATAATTTCTAATCCTTTGAAAATTCTCATAATGGATTCCTAATGTAATCACATATCAAATCTTTTGTGAAATCCTATGTAAAATATTATATATGTAACATGAAAACCCATATGAAATCCCATATAAAATCCCATGTGAAATCCTTTATGGAATCCTTTATGGAATCCTATATGTATTCTCACATAGAAATCCATGTGGATTTTTATGTAGATACACAAACTCAAATTCCCACATGAATTCCTGCTCCAAATCGTGTCCCAAATATACATGTGCTTTTACATGGAATCCCATGTGAATTCTTACGTGGGCTCTGGGATTTTATACAGGTTTTTGTGTAATAACCCACGTCTCAACATACGTACCTCTCCCCTAATCTTATACTTACTTATGTGAATAGATAGTTAATTTATATATGAAAACATACTTATTTTATTATAATAATATAATATGATAATTATAAATACCTGAGCAGCTATAGTAAATGTTACATTTTCGTGTAGGTCTATTAACTCTGTTGTAATTAAAATTGCCTTGAAAATCGGTTTGTTTCTGTTATCACTACTTTGACCAGACCAAAGTATAGAAAATCCATTACTTTTACCGTTATCAGATTTCAAGCTGAAAGATAAATTTTTATTTGATATGTCAATATCCCTTGCTATGATGGCTATGCCGTGAGACTCAAAAGAATAATTTTTCAGAAGTGGCATTCCCATTGTAAATTCGTAAGGAGCATTTATAAATTCTGGATCATGATTATTAGAGTCTGTTATTGGTAGACTAATTACCTGAAATGAAAAAATAATTTGTCTTAGAAGTGATGTTAGCATAAGAAAAGAATAAATTTTATAAATAATTATTTCAAATTTTCTGTCAGAAGTGTAAAATCGAAAGTAGAATTTCATGTAGTTAGTATGAATTGGCTACCTCTATTTTTACAAAAATCATTCGGAAACTTTGCAGAAATTTATTTTTTTACGGAAATCTTCCAGAAACTTTCCGGAAATTTATTTTTTTTACGGAAATCATCCGGAAATCTTCCGGAAATTTATTTTTTTTACGGAAATCATCCGGAAATTGATTTTTTTATGGAAATCATCTGGAAATCTTCCGGAAATTGATTTTTTTTACGGAAATCATCTGTAAAATATCCTGAAATTGGTTTTTAACGGAAATCACATCGGAAACTTTCCGGAAATGTTTTGGAAATTAATTTTTTTACGGAAATTTTCTAGAAATTAATTTTTTTACGGAAAACACATTAGAAATCTTCCAGAAATTGATTTTTTTACGGAAATCATCCGAAAATTTTCCGGAAATTAATTTTTTTTACGGAAATTACTTCAGAAACTTTCCCTATTTTTCCCCATTTTGATTACTGCTGTGCTATATATAATGTTTTAACTGAAGAATTAAATAATAAACTTGAGAAACTACTTAATTCTTGCGTGAGATTTATATTTAATTTAAAAATTGAGGAACACATAACACCATATAGGTTAAGGCTTGGTTGCCTCAGCGTGTGAGTGACAGGCGTCTTTGGTTTGTTGGTTGTCTTACGCATATTATCTTATGGGGGAAGTCTACTGTGACAAGGGAATAAACAGGCCGATTTTTGCGGATTTTTTTTCTAACAAAATATGACTGGTACAGTAAATTAAATTATACCGTCATCTCTATTATATATTCAAGTATTTGTAAAAAAATTTAAGTCGAAATATTTAAAATTGCCATCTCACGTCTAGTCTGGGTGATCTAAAACAAGAAAACAAAATATGGTTGTCTTCTACTTAGTATTGACTCTCGTCTGTCGAAGGATTTTGTCGATATCTTTTTTTATTTAATTGTTATTTTCTCAATCACTCTAGAGGGTCTTAGAATGTTATATTTTACAATTGTACTTTTATTTTATTGCATTATTGTGTTAACTTTACAAATTTTACAATTGTTATTTTTATTTTGTTTGAGATTAATTTTATGTATTCTTTTTGTTACATGATTTATAAATTGTATGTTATCTTTTACTGTATTTTTAATGCTTGCCAACGTGGATTTCCTAGGACAAAATAAAGAAATTTTAATTCTAATTGATTGATTCCCATGTGGAAGGACTACGGAAAGTTTTCCGTTAATTTTTCCGAAAATTTTCTATTTCAAAGGAACCTTTCATCGATTTTTGTTGTAGACCTGTGTTATTGAAAAAATTGTTTAAACATTCGAAAAAGGCGTTTTGAACGGTTTGGAAATTACGTCTCATTTTCAGAGGATAAAATATATATCGGGTTCATATTTAGAGGAGTGATGGAGGAAGGCTCACTGAGGCGTGCTCATTTCTGTTTTAACAATTATTTTTCAAGAAAATTATTTTATTAACGATTGAAAGTGGAGTAATATGAGGTTAAGAGATTTTTCTAGTTTAGCCGCGGCCACTAGCTCGAATTGACGTCACCTTCTTGTCAGTGACTTTCGCCAAAAATGCAACTTTTTAACCTTGCTTTTCAATACTTATTTCAAAAATTACTTGCTTTGACAGACTCTTCCCATACTTCAGAAAATTAATAAAATTCAATAGAAAAGAAAAATATTTTGCTGCTTCCCATAACGTTGTCAGACTCATCCAATATTTCAGAAAATTAATAAAATTCATTAGAAAAGAGAAATATTTATTCGAAATTCATTCTAGCTGCTTTCCATACTTTGCCTGACTCTTTCCATATTTCTCAAATTTTATAAAATTTAATAGAAAACAGAAATATTTTGAAAAATTAATCTTAGATGCTTCCCATAGAGAAGACTAGGTGCAGTTATTGTAACTTTGTGCAGTTGTTACCAATGGAATATCTCCAAAACAGTGATTATTTTTTATAAAAGATTTTATTCAATAACCTCATCGATTGCGTTTGAGAGAAGCAATTCCAAAAAAATAAACTTCCGGAAATTTTCCGAAGTGATTTCCGTAAAAAATTAATTTTTGGAAGATTTCCAGATGATTTCCGTAAAAAAATCAATTTCCGGAAAGTTTCCGAAGTGATTTCCGTAAAAAAAATCAATTTCCGGAACATTTTTGCATTATATTTCCGGAAGAATTAGAATTAGAATTTCTTTATTTTGTCCTAGGAAATCCACGAGGACAAGCATTAAAAATACAGTAAAAGAAACGTACACGGAAAGAAAAGGTCTGGAAGAGATATCCATAAAAATATTGTTGAGCAGAATATTGTTGTGTTATCCAATTCAATGGAAGAGACAACTTTCAGAATGGAAGCACATTCCATATTCAGTGGATGAGGGAGCCATATTATATTGTTGAATCAAATATGGATGTGACATCCATAGGCATTGTTGGGCTTACAATTCATGCTATGGATTTTCACATATGGCTGCCTCATCCATATAAACTTTGGTTGGGAGATCCATAGTTAGTTCAAAATTTCGATACATGTTGCGCTCAATTCATTATCATGGCATCCATTTAAAAATGGTCGTCTCAATTTGTCCGTCGCGTCGGTTTCCTGTCACGTCTATATAATCACGTTGTGAGTTTATTGTGTATAAATAGTGTTATAATTGTTTATTATTTGTTATTGTCTATTAGTGTTTATGTAAATTCATTTTCATGAAATATGTGTATAGTATATAAGGAATATTATATGCTCAAATATTGTAGTTGCGTGTATAGTGTAGTGGATAGCGTTAGTGTTTAGTATGCGTTAGGTCTAGGGTTCGTGTCTCCCCCATCGATTAATAATTTATTTCGTAAATATGCGGTTATTCAATAAGTGGTGTGTATTAATTAACAAAAATGTGTATAAAATATCTCGAGTGACATAGAATTTAATTAATTGAGTGATTCTAATTTTTTTGTTTCCCATTTCCATTACTATGGATCACCCAACAATAGATCTTTTGCTGCTCCAACAATATACAGCCAGCCATAGAATATGGATGCAGCAACCTTAACTATGGATATCCCGTATTTTTCAATATAATATGGCTGTGATATCCATGTATCTGGATGTGTCAACTATTCCTTTTTCTCCGTGTACAATTCATAAATCATGTAACAAAAAGAATACTTTAAATTAATCTTAAACAAAATAAAAATAACAATTGTAAAATTTGTAAAGTTAACACAATAATGCAACAAAATAAAAGTACAATTGTAAGATACAACATTCTAAGACACTCTAGAGTGATTGAGAAAATAAATGTTTATACAATACTATTTTGAATGTTTTTAGACAACTGATACTCGTTATAGAGGAAGGAAGAGAGATCCACTGATTAATTGCAGTTACAATAAAATTTCTTTTATACCGTTCAGTTCTACAGAGTGGAATTCTAAGCATATTAGCACATCTCAATTCTCTAGTAGTAATTTCATCTCTAAAAGTAAATTTTTCATACAAATAGGCACGGTGGTCTTGAAGGAGAAAGAAATGCAATGAAAATGGTACCAAAATCGGGTTGTGGGGGGTGTTTCTAGGTCACTTGTAGATTCAGAATCTGTAAAATTCGAAATCCTAGCTGATCCCTTTTTTTAGATATTGATATTTTTGTATTTTTATCCGTAAATCAACGGTTTGTATTGTATTCATTTAATTTTGATCAAATAATTGAAAGCTCAGAGAATCTATTATATTAGCCTTATTTTACTCTTGTTTAATTTTGAACTTTTTGTTACCCTATAAATGTGTTTCTTGTCTTCCTACTGCATTTCGGCCAAGCCGCCTCGTTAAAACCATCATTATTTATACTAATAGTAAACTTTATTGACTTGTACTTCAATACAAGTTTCGCAACATGAGTTTTCGAGATAAATGTTCTCATGATGAGAATAGAAAAAAAGTGTGTGCCCCATGTGGTAAAAAAATCGTGTTTGGTAAAATTGATCCCAAAAAATGTTTTATCAATGAAAGGATTGAAAATCTTATTAAAAAATTTATCGACAATAATTTTGAATTAGCGGATGAGAAAATTCCTTCAAGTATTTGTAGGACTTGCTATAACACGCTGCTGATGCTGAAAAAGGTATTTTTAAACGACCCTTACAAAAAATACCAAATTATACAGACATAATACTACCAAAAGAGACTCGTTCGTTTGAAGGTTCATGCAATTGTTACATTTGCGTGATTGCTAGATCTAAAGGTCACATTAGTACTATTAAAGGCAAAGGTAAGAAAAGAGATTTAAACAATGTTATTGATGTTTCAACAAGGATTCAAGAAGTTTTGACAACCGAAAAAGTTTCAACTTCAGTTTCGGCAAATAAACCGTCCACAGATGTTATTCGTCTATGTGATAAATGTTTTCAAGAAATTTCAAAGGGTAAGAAACATTTATGTAATGATTCTGTAAAGAATGTGATTAAACTTATTGAACAACTTCCTGAAAAGAAACAAGAGCAAATTGCCACTAGTATTATAAAGAAAAAAGCTGAAAATGAAGTGTGTACTAATGGTCAGCTTAAGGACATTGATTTAAGTTTGTCTAACATTAGGGGCAGAAATTCAAGAATTATAGTTAATCCTCTTGAAAAAGAAAAACCTTCATTTAGTGAAGAAAGGTTAGATGATTTTCGAGTTAATTTAGGATCTTCAATGAATGAAATGAAAAAATTAACTAATTTTATACGAAGCAATGTGGGAAAAACGTCTATTCCAGCGAATTATCAGAAACATATGTCAGAAAAATAAAACTTCTAAGTGATGTATATAACAAGGGTATCTATAAATTTGAATGTGAGAAAAGCTCATTGAAACAACAACGACCTGTTATTTATTCA